TTTCTGCCTTTGTGAAGCGCTATGAGATGACTGTTGTTGTAAATATGCGCTATACAAATAAAACTGAATTGAATTGAATATATATATGTATATATATATATTAAGGAGTGATGATGGTAAATAATATTTAAACTGTGATCTTACAGATGTTGTGATAAGCTACAGATCACATGCAGCGAAATCACAGACAAGGTTTTGATTTACAGTTTTGTTGACTGTAAAAAGATGCTACGTGTGCGTTTAAATGGATGAAGACGTTATTGTACAGATACTTTCACTGTGCGCTGCTACCACGTCTCTCTGCGGCAGCGACTGGCCGCCCGTCAGAGGACAGAGGATCGTACCTGTGGCGATGCTCCGGCTTCCGGCGGTCAGGACGACCTGCAGACAGACACACGGACGTTAGTGAGCTGAAGACAGGCTAAACCGTCATGTGATTGGTTAACGAGCTGGCAGGCTGCAGGTACTGGACTGATGACAGCCAGATACCTAACGAGCCGCAATTAAAGTCACTTTATCCAACAAAAGATAAGAAGTCAAAAAAAATAAAACTTTGCTCTGACAAAAAACTAATTCTGAGCTTGTTTGAGTGCAGGCAGCGCCTCCAGAGAGGAGACGAGGACGGAGCCGGTTAACACCATCAGCAGGTCAGTATCTACAGCATGAGGAGAGCTGTTGTCCAGCCTTGGTGACACCTGTGGACACGTTTCTGACATGTTTAGAACTAATCAAAGAGGTTCATGTGTACGTTTAATGATTTATGTCATTTAGGAGTCACTGTCTGAGTGGCTTAACCCGAACCTGAACCCAAACCCAAACCCAAACGACTGTACGTCATCTTGGAATGGTTTGAGACGTTTGGCACTTGTTGTAAATTAGATGTTCCTTCTCTCTGGTCTCCATGGTTCTGAGTCCTGCTGACAGAAGACGTCTCTGAGGTCTATCTCCTCCTTCATGTGGTTCTGGTTCCACAGAGCTGCAAGACTTTATGTTGAAACATGAAGCTCAGTGAGTTAAGCTGATCCAGGATCTGCTGGTTGGGTTCTGTTTAGGGGCCTGCACTAGAAGCCGGATCAACATATCCAGGATATGTGTCAGAGATCCGGCTTGACGAACCCGAACAGCTGCAAGCTGCTGCCTGTGTGGACGATCAGCTCATTAGTTTATAATAAAACCTGATCACTGCTCATCATGAAGGCTTGTATCAGACCAGCAGCACATCTCAGGACTCCTTTAGCTCCTGTGCTGCCTGATGGACAGACTCGTGGTCTATCTGACATGTTCTACCTCCAGCTGCAGCCCTGGAGGTGTAGAAAGGACGTGGGAGCAGATGGAGAACCAACAGAACCATGATCCAAAGCGGTGCAGCTCATTAAC